CTATTTTCGAGTGGGAAATTTCCCCTGCTCGAATTAGCGCCTCTCTTCTTGTGCAGAAGTTAGGGGATTTTTCTCCTTCTTTTCTTTTCTCCCTGACTTTCTGACAATCGAGGCTTTCCACTATTTTCGAGTGGGAAATTTCCCCTGCTCGAATTAGTGTCCTTCTTCTTGCGCAGAAGTGAAGGGATTTTTCTCCTTCTTTTCTTTTCCCCCTGGCTTTCTGACAGTCGAGGCTTTCCGTTATTTTCGAGTGGGAAATTTCTCCAACTCGAATTAGCGCCACTTTTCTTGCGCAGAAATTTAGGGATTTCTCATCCTCTTATTTCTAACTTTCTTATAGTTTAGGCATTCCCTTGTTTGTTGTCGGCGGCATTCCCTACTAAAATTTAGGGCCTCTCTCCGTATGTAGAAGTTAGAATTTTTCCAGTCGTTCTCTTCACTTGCACTCTTCTTCTTGCATTAGAGGCATTCCACTATTAGAGATAGGCGGCATTCCCCTATCAAGCTTCAGTGCACGATGAGAGGCTATCTTCTAAATAGACAACCAGTGATAGAAGGAGATCAATTGCTGCTTATATGCGAGGGTGATTTGAGAAGATCTAGCGTCAATAGTATCCGCGAGGAGAGCCAGTAGACGGGGAGAATTTTGATGTTGTTCGAGCGGAAGTCTGTCGGTAATGGTCGATCTAGTTGAAGTCCATTAGCAATCAACTGACGAGTAGAGGACTGAAGGAGAGAGTTTGAAGGTGCGTTGCAAGTAGTAGTCGATCGACAATCCAATAATGGCTGAAGTAATAGATCGCCGGTAAATATCAGACAAAGGTCCGATGATCGTGAATGTCCAATGACATCTTGCTAATACATTATGCATATATACTGAAGTGTACCGACATCAGATATCTCTGAGTCAATGGATCGGAGCAGTGTATTATGCTGACGATCTAACAACATATGTATAGTGTTAACTGAGTTGAGGCCTGATAAAAGCCAAATTGTAATCTTTCTTTGCAGAAGAAGTTGTATGAGATGCTTCAATGTGCAGTAGAGAAGAAGTCACAAAATCCACTAAGGATATTTGACTGTTTTAAAGTTATTTGTTGCTTGATGATTGTAACTTGTACGAATAATGCCAAATATATTTTTACTTTCAGATTCTTACAAAAATGAACTTGATGTGCCATCTTTTGCAATGTAACTCCAACGACATTGAATAAGGAGTTGAGAACTTGTCCTTCGGAGCAAGCTAAATTGCGATTGCATCTTTAAGATATGCTTTGACATATTGCCCCCCCATATTTTTGTGAGGGAATTTTAAAATGTTGAAGTCGTTGTATAAGTAATAAATTTATCAATCACTTGTGTTCATGGAGTCTTTATAGAGAGAACATTGTTCACTCAGAACATTTCTTGGTGATGTTGACCTTTATAAAAGGGATTGAGAAAATCCACCAACGATGTGAGACCTATCCGAGGTTGTATGTCGGAGCCTTTGCTCGATGACATTAACCTGTGTTGAAGAGGTTGAGAGAATCGACAAAGGATGTGAGACCTATCCAAGGTTGTATGTCAGATCCTTTGCTCGACAACGTTAATCTATGTGGAAGAGGTCGAGAGAATCCCCCAATGATGTAAGACCTTTCCGAGGTTGTATGTCGAAGCCTTTGCTCGACGACGTTAACCTGTGTGGAAGAGGTCAAGAGAATCCACCAATGATGTAAGACCTATCCAAGATTGTATGTCAGAGCCCTGCTCGATTATGTTAATCTGTGTGGATGAGATCAGATCAAATCCCCCTGGGATTGATCATCCTGTGATTGAGATACAATATAGATTGTGTATTTCTTGAATCACGGAGAAATAGTTTGTGAATTTTTTTTTATTTTTCACAAGAGAAAATAATATCACAACAACGTGAACATTATATTACTGCATTATGTAAGACAGTATAATAGTTTCCTAGTATGACTTAGAGATATACAAATTATAAAGTACTCAACACATAAGATTTACGTACGATGACAATACAACATTTAACTTGAAAGAAGACATTAGAGATATCAAAGTGATACCTTACTCAACATAAAAGAGACAACAAGATAAGAATTATTGCTAATACAAATGCACGAAGTGCTTGATCATTCAATCTATACAACCATCTGAATATTATTCAATGGTCGTCTTTGTTGTTGATTTTGCCCCCCAGCAGGAGGAGCTTCCTCTCGGGTAGATGGATCTCTAATAAATTGTCGAAGGTAGCCCCGACGGATAAGTCTTTCAATCTCATCCTTAAGTTTCTTACAAGCTTCGGTAGTGTGACCACGACTACGATGAAAGTGACAGTATTGATATGGGTTTCCTGTGTTCGACTTCAAAGGATTAGGCCATTTCAATGTATTTTGATCTCAAACTGCCATCAATACATTTGCTTGAGATGTGTTGAGTGGGGTGTACTCCTCCTGTCGGGGTTCCCATCACGGTAATGGAGGCCTAGGAGGTAGATTATTCTTCCTTTGTATTTTCTGTTGTGAGAATGAATTATCCATCCCAGGTGTACGTTTGCGCTTCCCATTGATTTGCTCAAACTGCTTCCTGTGAGCATTTATAGCTTCATCTGTAGAAATTTGTGCTTCCACACAATGGATAAGGTCAGTATATGAATGAACAGTGTCGCGCATGAGTGCTGAATAGAATGGGCCAGGACGAAGACCTC